AAAAAAAAAAGAGGAAAGAAATGTCTTCTGGAAGTGACTTTTTGAAACAGAGCTCGTTAGAGCTAGGAGTGGTGCTTGTCATGTCTGTCTGTGGGCTAGGGGACACTGGGCAGAAAACAGAACCTGCGGAGGCCGTGGCTGGTAAGTCACCACTGTGCTCGTGCGCTCTGGTCCTCATTTACAGATATTAAAAACAACAATGTTAAGAACTTTACTAAAATAGCTGGTCCTTCGAGATCGTCTCAAGAGGCTGCCACCTATTAAAAAGTAGAAGCAGTGGTTTCTTTTTGTGAGAACTCACACAAAGTGTTGTTTGGAGGATCAACACCCCGCCGATGTGCATGACCACGGCTACGGCCCCTTAGGTCTGCGCTCTCACCCTGCTGCACACGTGGGGTACGAGGCGAACAAATGAGACATTTTACAGCATCCAGCCTTTTGTACATTTGCACAGTTTTGTATCAAAATTCCGACAAAAGATTGTCTCCTGAGAATTTGAGCATTTTAGCCCCTGGGTCAGCAGTGAAAGGCTCCTCTTTTCAGGACACTTCCTACTCTGGTTACGGTGTGCAGTGTCACCTAGACTGTGGTGTGTGACGCACAGGCTGAGCCCTTGCTGAAAATATCGTGTCGAGATGACTGGAAGAGCCCAACGCACGTTAAATGTAGAGGCAGTAAGACAGCACTTCGGGATTCTCTCTTTGCTACAGTTTCTGTGGAACAGAACAGTGTCTTCAGGAATGGACAGGTGAATTGCCCCCTGTGCAGCACGGCACCGTCTGGAGGGACGTCAGTGCCTTTGTACCGGGACACTCTGAGCATCTTTTCTCTGTGTCTTGTGGCTTTCGCTGACGGTGTGACGGGAAAATGCCCAAAGGCTGAGGTGGCGGCCGGTGTAGGGCAGAGCATCACACTCGGCACACCGCACAGTGACGAAACACGGAGAAGCCTTCCTCCGTATCGCGGCCTGGATCTCACCGTCTCGGACGTCACCTAGGCCTGCACTTGGGTGCTGGGTGAAGGCAGAGGAAAGCTCCAGTGGAAAAGATGCTCAGGTTCCAACCACTGCGGCGCACGCACTTTTATTCCTCAGTGCTATGTGACAGCAGACAGGCTTGAAAAGCCGAGGTCCAGAGCAGGAGAAGCGCTTGATGTATTTAAAAAAGTAGTAGAATAACGCTTTGTAAATAGCTTTTATAAATGGACAGGAAATATACCATCTGTGAGAAGAAAAAGCACTAAGACATATGCATTGTATTTCAAACACATTTCTTTAAAAGCGGTCACAGCATGGCACATCTGTGCTCCCACCACGGAAGGGAACCTACCTAGATTTCCAGGAGCTATGAACCCAGGAGAAAAAGAACCACCCAACCAAAGCAACCCAATTAGAAACGTCCTCCAAGGGCAGGAAGCAGGGCGATGCTCTGCTCTTCCTTTCCACACTTGACCCACAGGACACGATCCCTTCTGCCAAGAAGCAAGCCAGTCCCGTCTCCTACGGACCCGATCCACCCTGGGCACTGTGGCTGGCACCAGTGTGGCGGGTGCGGCTGTGCTGGGGACTGCTCTGCTGCTGGCGTGGCCCAGTGCCTGTCTTCAGCACAGGAGTGTGGCCTCCACCCTGCTGCGTCCCACTCCAGAGGGAGATGCTGCTGACACCCCAGCCCCCCTCAGCTCGGCCAACTCCACTGCCTCTCCCAAGGAAAGTGGGGGCCGGAACTTGCCTTCCTGGGTCACTGCCCTGCAGAGTGGGCAGTGACGGAGACACTGAGCCTGGGGTTTTATCTGGGCAGCTCCTGCCCTTGGAGTCCCCACCGACGCCCACAGCCCAGCCAGAGAGGGACACGGGAGCATGCGCCGCCCGGCTGACATCCCTACGCTGTCACACAGGGACAGGCCTCGGGGAGATGCTTTAAGAAGCCCAGTCTTGCACCTCACAGGTCAAATCCATTTCAAAAAGAAATCAGGATAAATCCATAACAGGTCACCCAAAGTAATTATTTAACAGAAAATTTTATTTCAATAAATACTTTTTCTTCCAAATAACAATTACAACTTTCGGGATAAAATCGTAATCTAGAAGTGACTAGTGTGTTACTCCACTTTGCAGCACTGCCTGAGTGAGGAACACAGCCTAGGCTGTAGAGTCTGACCAGAGACTGCGCTGCAGTCCCAGAGAAGCGGGAGGGGAGGTCAAAGGACACACCAGCCAGCAGCCTGCGACCCCGTGAGCAGGGGGCCGAGTGGGAAGATCCCACGCCTGAGGCTAGCCTGGGCAACTCAGCAAAGCCCTGCCTCGAAATCAGAATCCTCCAGAAGGGCTGGAGTGTGGCTCTGCAGTAGGGCACTTGCTTGGCACACACCAGGCCGAGGCACAACCCCAGGACCTAAAAACACGGGGGACACAGCCCTCGGCCACAAGGGAAGCAGCCCGGACACTGCCCAGCTCCAACTCAGGTGGGCCGGCCGGTGCCTGCTATGTCACGCTTGGCAAGTCCTGCCGGGACCCAGCTCGGACGCTGTGTGGTGCAGCCACGAGCACTGGTGCTTGGGACCTGGCTCCACACAGCCCTCACACTCCCACCGCCAGGCACCCACCCGGGACGGGTGCCTCCTGCGTGACCGTGGTAACGTCCAGAGAAGAAATGAAGCACACGTGTGGGAAGGAGAGGCGACAGACGTTCACGGACTTTAATGCTCAGCACTCGGACGCGTTCAGGGCGGAGCGGACGCCAGCTCAGGATCCGGATCGCAACAGACCACCACAATGCCGCCCAGCAGCTCCCCCTGCTGGCCGTGTACCTACCGCCTCTCTGTACCTAGCATCGCCGTGTGACAGTCACTTGGGGCTCGACTCCACTATTGTCTTCTGCAGTCCAGGACACATTCAAGTAACACTCCCACAACGTCATGTGCAAACGAATGTGTGAAAAGGACTCGCCGCCACGTGGCACGGGGCACGAGCCCTGGCGGGGCAGGCACACCCGTGGGACCAGCGTGGAAGAAGCAGCAGGAGTAATCGCCCCTACATCGGCACCCAGACCAGTCCCCAGCCGCACGGCCCCAGCACACGGCTGCTCCCAGGAGCGGGGGCGCGCACAGAGCCCACGGCTCCTGTACCTGTTATTCAAGCGAATGGACCGCCGGGGGCCCAAGGCGCCGGCCAGCACCAGCTGCCAGTCACCCGTGGGACCAGCGTGGAAGAAGCAGCAGGAGTAATCGCCCCTACATCGGCACCCAGACCAGTCCCCAGCCGCACGGCCCCAGCACACGGCTGCTCCCAGGAGCGGGGGCGCGCACAGAGCCCACGGCTCCTGTACCTGTTATTCAAGCGAATGGACCGCCGGGGGCCCAAGGCGCCGGCCAGCACCAGCTGCCAGTGCCACTCAGCGTCCTCAAGCGCGGGCAGAGCATCTCCTCCACGTCTGTAAACGCTATTTTAGCGGAAGACAGACTTTGCCCATTTCAGTGCTTTTAGTGAACTGGTGTTTTCAGTAAACTTTTTCTGAGCAGCAAGGAACAAAGATTTTTTTCAGAAATCTTAGAAGTGGATATAAACATTGGCAGTAGACACAATCAATAAATATCATACAAGTCCGCAAATGAAAAAGATTTCCCACACGAACTCCTTTTATGAAGACATTCAAATGCCCGACCCAAGGGTGCCTCCACCCCAGCCCCAGGCAGCCGCTCCTCAGGCAGTGTGCAAAGGGAGCAGGAGGCTAGGGCGCAGAGCGAGGGATCTGGATCCAGTCCTGGAGACCTTCCAGGGAGGGAGGGACAGGCGCAGCTGGGCCCCTTGGGACACCCTCAGCTGAGGCCCGGAGCTTGGTGGGCACCACGGCGTCCACACCTTCTCCGGCTTCACTTGTCAGAGGCTCTGAAAAGGTCTGTGACCCCTCGCGCTTCGTACCCACGAGGAGGAAACAATAAATACGGATCCCGCCGGCGCCATCGCGGACTCGCTGTGCCCGGTCACTTACGAGTCTGGGTCTTCTTTGGCACTGCGGGCCGCTTGGGCTGCCACAGGTGGTTGTGAATGGTGAGCGCGTCCACACTGACCGACATGGTCTTGGCCGGGATCAGGTTAAACTGCTTGCGGTCCGAGCTGTACTTATAGAGCTTGTCGATCATCTTCTTGGTGATGCTCTTGGGCCCCGTGCCGGTGAGTTTGTAGATCTCCTCAGTGTCGGGGTAGTAGCAGTACAGAGCCCGGAACTGGCAGCCAGCGTCACGGAACAGGATGATGTAGTGGTTGGCGTCACACTTCTCCAGCTCCTGGGTGGGGAGACGAGAAGCACTGAGTGTCACTGCGCCTCCTGGGGCCAAGGTCCCCACGGGCACTACACCAAGGCAGGGAGCAGCCGGGGAGCTCCTTTTCGCCAATCACAGCTTCCTGTTCCGGGTGACAGCTCTGCCTTCTAGGGGGCAAGGATGCTGCCGGGGCCGTACCACACAGAAGTCTGGGTGTCTGTATTGCCAGCCACCGGGGACAGAAAGGGTGTGCTCACGAGGCAGGCCAAGGACGGGGACGTGGGGCCGGGAGGACATGAGTGCCCAGCCACTACTGAGAACTGTGACCATCCCCACGTGACCCAAACACTACAGGGACAACACAGAGCCAGGAAAAACCTTCACCACGGCATCCATAGCAGTACTGTCTATAATACGCCCAGAGCAGAAACAACCCACACACACCAGCCCACGAAGGGGACCCACAGTCTGCCCGGCCAGACGCCCCACGATACTCAGGAACCTCAGAGTCCTGCTCCGTGACAGATGCGGCCAAAGGCCATGTGTCCCGGGGCTCGAGCACACCAGGGATGGGGACGGAGATGATGCCCACGTGACTCCGCTCGGACACGCTCGCCCAGGGGCTTGCGCCTGAGGGGTGACCCTGTGCGGGGGAACTGTCCCTTCACAGTCCTCACGGTCACTGTCTATCCCTAACCTTTGGGAACCCACACCTACTTAGTTAAGGAAATGTGACAAGAGCCGGCCGTACCCACTGGCCCTGCATGGGCTGTGCTGTCCACACCCTGCAGGCAGGCACAGCAGTGACAGGACCCCCACAGCCACGACAGAGCTCCAGGAAGCCGTCATCCGTGTCCTGATCCCTCCCTCCCCAAGGCCCTCAGCAGCTAGGCAGGGTTGGCACACTGCCACTGACTGCTGAGGAAGGGGCCCTTTTTGTCCATCGTCCCAACTTCACCCCGGCCAGGCCTCGGAGCAGAGGCAACAGGCATCACAGTGAAGTCGACCGCAGCACACTGCACCAGGTGACACTGGGATGCCTGCGCACGCCAGCCCCTCCTCCGGAAGCTGCCGCCTCACAGCTCGGCCTTTCGGGACTGGCGGGAGCCCTCCTCAGCCCCTCAGCCCTGCACCTGCCCCATGCTGCCTGCCCGACACTTTCCCAGTCTAACCCAGCTCCCAGGATGCAGGCCTGCCCACCACTGTTGCCCCTCCAGGGTCCCCACCCTCACAGTCTTCTCCCCTGGCCCCATCCCCAGTGTGGCAACCTCTTGAGCTCCCACCTGCCCAGGTCCTACCCTTCCGAGCCCATCTCAGCCTGAACCCACAGGGCTCTGTGCACTCCCTCCCCGGCCCGGCCCGGCAGCGGCTGTGGCGCGGGATACTTGCCTCCAGGACCGAGTGCTTGTGGGGCTCGTTCACCTTCCCTGCCAGGCAGCAATGGGACACGGCGTTGTGGATGATTGGCTTGTTGGACTTGCTGCTGGGCTCCTTAAAGAGCTTGGGACCTGACAACAAGGTGTGCAGGTTGGCATTTGAAAGCAGGGACACACACGAGAAAGAAAGTGACAACACCTCAGGATCAAGAAACAGGTGCACCATCGTGGGCACACGCGCTCCTCGATGGGCTACTGCAAAGCTACTCCAGAAAACTTCCTGGAAGTAATAAAAGACTACAGTACCTAATGACTTTACTTTCTAATTTCAGCTTCGTCTCTATAAAATGACAAACTCAGGAAATGACTTTTGTTATTTCTGGTGGTACTGGGGATCGAACCCAAGCTGTCACCACCAAGCTGCATCTCCAGTCCTCTGTGGATTAAGGCAGGTTCTCACTAAGCTGCGCAGGCTGGCCTTGAATGTGTGACCCTCCCAAATAGCCTACTAAACCCAACATAAAAAAATAATTGGGAAAAAGCCTAAGGCTCTTTCCCAGTACCAATAAATAAACACATGAAATGTTCAAAGCCTCATATTCCAAGTGCCCAGGAGGTGCGGCTACCCGGCCCAGCCCCAGCCTCCAGGACAGCCGGCAAGCGGTGTGCCCTCACCTGTGTACTCGGCCACCGAGGCCAGGGAGGACGCGGCCGACGCAGTCTCCCAGTCGCGGTCAGTGCTCCGGCTGGGGTTGCGGCTCAGGATGGGCAGGGCTTCCAAGGACTCCACCCTGCAGCACCAGAGAACAAAGGGTGAGGGTGGCACAGTGGGAGTCACATTTGTCCCACCATGCTGCCCAAAGCGGGCCACCTATGGAGGGCACCCCTGTGTGGGGCCCGCTGGTGCCCATCCTGGTGCGGCACAGCTCGGCACGCACTGTACAGGCACACACGACGGACCGCGTCCAGCAAGCATTTCCAGCCCCGGGTGACAAGGGGTTTGCCGTCAGTGTCCTCTGCCTGCAATGCTGCCAGAGAGGGCCGCGGTGACGCTGGTGCAGGAAGGTGGACGACAAAGGGCAACCCCGGTGCTGCAGCCCTGCGGGGGATGGGACCAGGCATGGGCGGCCGCCACCACACCTGCAGGGACGGCCTGGCAGAAGCAGCTCCTTACCGCTGAGAGGGCGTGCCCCCCGAGGGGATGCTCTCGGGCTCTGTCGTCGCTGCAGAGGCCAAGGACAGGCTGGAGCCTGAGTGCGTCTGGCTCAAGTTGTCGGCTGCAGAGACGAGGACCGGGCCCTTAGCGGCCTGTCCGGCCCGAGCCATGGGAGGGCCCGCACCCTCCCCGTCCATCCATCCATCCATCCCATCCGTCCAAGCAATCTCCCCCCAGGAGAAGCAGGCACGCGCAAGGCACGCGCAAGGCACCACGCAGGCACTTACGGGTGGAGGAGCACTTGGTGCCCGAGTCGCTGCACGATTCCTCACGATGCACAGATTTGGGCCTTGGCTTTCTGGGCTTCGACTTGGGTTTGCCGAGCCCCTGCTCCTCCAGGATCTGCTGCTGCTTCCTCCTCAGATACTCCTGCTTGATGAGCTCTCGCCGTGCCTTCTCCTCCTCCTTACGGACTCGATCTTCCTCGGCTTTACGTCTGCGAGAGGGCGAGTCAGTGGGACTCACAGGAGGAGCGAACCCTCAGACCTGCCTCCTGCGGCCCTGGTGCTTCCCCAGGTCCCCCCGCGGGCTCCCGGGTGGGACCAGCAGCGTTCAGGCCTCAGCCGTGGAGACACTCCCCGCACCGCACCCCAGCAACCCCGGCGGCAACCGGGGTGGGGACAAAGCACAGACAGCCTGCAGGGCCACTGTCCAGGCAACAAGGTTACCGGGCCTCATCGCGCTTGAGCTCCACTTCCGCCTCCAGCTGCTGCTTCCGCACACGCGCCTCCTCAGCCTTGCGCTGCTGCTTCAGCAGGAAGGCAGCCCGCTTCTTAGCAAGCTCGTCTTCGGCTTTCTGCTCGTCCTGCAAGTGGCACAGGTGTCGGCTTGTAGACGGTGATGACAGGACAGCAAAGTCCTGGAGCGCGCCAGCCAGACTCTGGCGTGCACTCAGGGAGCTCCAATGCACAGTTTAAACACGAACCACACGCTAACCCCGGCAAGCGCGGCGACACTCCACAGGGGCAGACGTGAGGCCGCACGGCCAAGGGCGGCGGGAAGACACGGACGTGCCTGTGTGTCTGCACCCAGGCCCATGCCGTGGTCTTCATGTTTCTAAATGGCTGGAGAGCTGTCAGAGGGAAAAGCTCTGCCGCGTGCGGACACGCCACGGAGTCAGGCCTGGGCCCACGGGCAGGATCCTGGGCCACCTCACCACAGTGGACAGGCGGCAATGACCCTGCTTCCTCCCAGCCTCTTCAGTCCACACTGCATTGAAGTCCCCTGGAGGCCCGGCAGTCACGGGAGGCGACACCACCCCCGGGCCTGGTTCGTGACCCGCTCACCACATACCTTGAAGAAGAAGCCAACCCCGGGCTTCTGGTCACCATCGCCGATGAGCTCCGGAGCGCTGTCCTGGCCTACCACCTCGCCATCCTCATCGGGGGCCTTCAGGTGGGCCAGGTCCACCTCGATGAGGCTGGCCTTGCTCCTCAGCGTCTCCTCCCCCGGGATAATCTCCTTCGTGGGGAGGGGCTCTTTGCTGGAGGAGCTCAGCCCTGCCTCTTTCACGCTGGCACCTAGAACTTCTCTGAGACCCATCTGTTCCGCGATGACGTTGGGGTCTTTGGGCGAGGGCAGAACACAGGTCCGCTGGTTGCTCTCATCGTGGAGCCGGTAACTGTCGAAGAGGCCCTTCTCAGGAGGGTGGCCGCCGGGGACCGCAGCTCCATCCACAGTGGGGTCAGAGGGCGTGCGAGGGGGGTGCCCTGGGGGGAAGGGCCGTAGGTGCGAGAGGCCCTCAGAGCCGGGCGTTGGGGTTTTGCTCCTGGAGGAGCCCTGCTGCCTGTCTCTGGGGACCTTGAGCTCCGCTGGTCTTCCGGAGCGGGAGTTCCGGCCCTGGCCCAGCCGGGGCGGCTTGCGCTGAGCAGCCATTCCGGGTGGCGAGAGCGGCTCCACAAAATGGACAGCAGCCTTCACGTTTTGGTCCTGGGAGTTGCTCTTCGAGCCTGGAGTCGGGACGCTCGGGGACTTCATGAGCAGCTGCTCCTGCTGCTGCGAGATCTTCAGGATGGCCTGCTGCAGCGTGCTGATGGTCTCGTTCAGTTTCTCGATGGACAGCTCACATTCGGTCATGTCCACAGCCTCGCCCACCCCGTCCTCCAGGAGCGCGGCCGAGAGCACCTTGCTCCTGTCCACGTCATGCAGCACGACCACGTCTCGGGGTCTGTGAGTCTGGAGGAGAGCCAGGCTCTCGCCATCCGCATCCCGAGACCCGCTGAGGCCCTCGGTTCGGGGCACGCTGCTGTCCAGGTGCTCCCCATTGTGTGGAGAGTCCTTTGCGAAGTGCTCGGGCCGCAGCGGCTGTGGGGCGCCGTCCACCTTGCCCTTCTTCACCACGTGCAGGAAGGCGGCCTTGCCCAGCTTCAGGCGCTGCCGTGCGGACAGCACTTCCATCTTCTTCTTCTGGGCCTCGATGGCCCTGCGCTTCTCCTCCAGCTGCATGTGCAGCTGCACCAGCTCGGAGGCCAGGAGGCTGGCGGGGTCCTTGCTGTGCCTGCCCGGGCTCTGCTCCCTCTTCTGCCTCCATGTGGTCAGGGGCGCAGGGCAGCTCTCGGAAGCATCCGGCGTGGTCTTCTGGGAGCTGCTAGTGCTCGACTTGGTCTCGTAGCTGTTGAGCCGCTGGAGCTTCCGCTCTGCGAAGCTGGTCATCTTCACACTCCCACTCGCCAGGGACACGCTGCTGAGCTGGGAGGTGGTGCTCAGGCACGGGCTCGAGCGGCCACTGGCGCCATCCTTGTCCTCGTGCTCCCGCACCTTCATGTCCTCCTGCAGCTTGGCCGACTCCTCTTCCCCAGCGTAGGCGGTGATGACCACAGGGTGGTCCCCACCAAGGAAGTCCTGCTCTGCATCCTCTATGTCAACCACATCGGAGTCAGAATCCTGCCTCAGGAGCGTCCAGGGCTCTGAGTCTTGCGAGCCAGGACTCTTGGAGCTGATGCACAACCTCCCCTCCGAGTCCTCATCAGCTCTGCCCACGTGAAGGAAGAAGCCGTCTGCAGGCTGGCCCTGGGGTGATGGCTGGAAGCCGCCAATGGCCAGAGGTGCCCCCAGCACTTCTCCCTCGCCTTCCGCTGAGCACAGGCTAACCTCGGCAGGGTCGACACCCACCGGGATGGGCGTGAAAGTCCTGTTCAGGTCCCGCCCTCCATGACTTCCAGCTACTTTCTTCCTTGCCAGCAGCTGGGGGCCCTCGCTGCAGCGCTTGACTGTGGAGCTCCTCGGCCGCCCTTCGCCACACTCATCCTCCTTGGTAATAATCTGCTTCTCCTTTGCTGGCCTCAGCACTGCCGGCATCAGGGGCTCTAGGAAGAAACTGTCGGGTTTACTCTCCGTGAGGTCCAGCTGCTTTTGGGGAGACCTGGCCCTGGCCAGCAGGCCTGCCACACGGGGTGATGCCCTGGCAACCTCCAAGTCCCCACGGTGGGCAGTCGCGTCCGTCCTGATGATGGTCATGAGCTCTTCCTCCTCGTCCTCAATACTGACGTTGCCCAGGAGGCTTCTCCCGTTAGCCTTCCCGGCCGTGGGGTGCGGCTGGTTCTGAGGCGTGAGGTGGACAACGTTGGAAGCCAGGCTGTCTTTGCTGATGGAGCGGGCCAAGCTGACGCTGTCGCCGGAGCCAGGGTCCACTTCGCAGCTCGTGGCATGATGGAGTGTGAAGGGTGTTGGCTGGGACACGGGCCTGAAATTCAAGCGGAAACTATGGATTATAGAACCACGTGCAAGAGACTGCCCCGCAGCACCTGCCAGACGGGGTTCTACTCATGGGAGTCCAGTGAAAACCTCCACAGGACATCACTGTGGAGGGACTAACCTGTTTTTTTTTTCCGGCCATGCTACAGCTGCACCTCGCGGCTGACCTTCGACACGCGTTAGAGAGTTAGATCGATGCCGCTGATCTGCAAAGTGAGGAGATAATGTTCAGAGTTTTAAGTAACCAATTCTGTATCCCTGGAAACGCTTTCAGCACAACAAATTCCTTCCCAGGAAATGACAGGAACGCAGTACACCAGAACTACTCAAGGAAAGCAGACAGTCTAACAAACCCTACTCGTTAACGTGTGATAGTAATGACCAGCCCAATGAAGGAAGTTAAGTGAGCCAGAATTTTAAGTGAACTTCCAATACAGAGGTTCTTGCTTTGCTCCCTGCTGCAATTCTGGGTCTGTGTAGGATTTATTAGGTGTGGACGGGATTTTCACAGCAAGGCTCAATTCCAAGTACAGGAGTGCAAACGGGGGTTTACCATCCCACTCTTAACTAGAGTCACTACATCAGGACGGCGAGAGGCCTCGCTTCACTATGCAGGGTAGAAGGACAGCAGGGGAAGCAGGAGAGGGATGTGCTCTGCTCTCACCGGGCGCCTCCTCAGCCTGCGCTGCTTTCTGCTGTTTCTGCCTCAGTGGCAACAAAGGATGTGCTGGGCTAAACGCGGAAGTTCCTTTCCCACTAAATGGAGAAAGAATTTGAGAGAAAAATCACTGTTTATAAACTTTAATTTCAAAAGCAAATGCAATGGAAACAACAGAGATCACCGTGAATGCATTCTAAATTGGAGCAACTTAACAGGTTTTCTGGGAAATACATCTATAAAAATGAACCAAGAGGCTGCCAAGAGCTTCCAACTTGAGACAAAAACCCAGGCGCTGCAAACAGGGGACATCCTGACTTCTGGTCAGTGTGCAACACAGCCAGTTCCCAATTTCAGCAGCAAAACGCAACCACAGAGGTTGCATTTGAGATAAACAGAAGTAAAAATAAGAAAAGGGACTGGAACTCCCAATGGGAACCACAGGGCACAGAATTAAACATGATGCCTGTGCTGTGGGCACACTGGCACCAGCTCCCCCAGCTGCAAGGAACAAGTCACAAAGGTGTGGGCAGGGTGGAGGGGCCACGGGACACCAGCACATTGGGCCGCAGCTGCCAGGCTTAGGCCTAAAAAGGCCAATGCAGAGAGAAGGTGTCCAGGGTCAGAAGAGAGTGAGCAAAGAAGGGATAGAGAGGGACGATACACAGGCCCAGAGCCATGTGCCGAAGGGCAGGGGGTGCAGGAAGCCTGGCCCGGTGGCCACCAAGACACCACGCGGTTGTCTGCCTGCACAGGAGCAGGGACTGTGGCAGAAGGGCGCTTCTCATGGCACACTGCCAGGTGGATAGCAGGGCAGGGGGCAGTGTGTATGTGCGGGCCTCATGCTGATCTGACCACTGGGGGCAGAGCCGGGAGAAGGGACGCCCACACGGGGCACTGTGGCTGTGCACGCTGTCTTTATGAGCGACTGTCCCCTCTCGGCTCCCGCCTGCGCCCACAGGCTCTGCGCTACAGCTGTCCGCCGCTGTCCTAGGTCCCGCCATACGTCATACCTCTCCCTCGGCAGTGCTGCCAGAACGGCTTCTCAGACCCTAGGACTCCTTCCCCCTTGCTCAGCCCCACAAAGGAAGCCACCCCAAGACACCAAGGGTCCTTACACCAGCTGGCTCAGGAGCCATTCTGTTCACGCACTGCTTAAAACCACCTTTGTACTGCTTTAACCTTAAACCCCAATTCACTCAACCTGAACACTTTCAAAGGTGCGTCCAAGCACTAAATCCCCTGAGCGGGGGCGCCTGGCTCAGCGACAGCACGCATGCCCTGCACTGCCTGTGCGTGAGGTGCCAGCCTGCTTCAGCTGGGATACCACGCCTTCCGCCCCACAGTGCGGCTTCCCCTGACTCCAGGAGGGTGCTGCAACCCTCCGCAAACCCGACCAGGCACCCCGATGCACCTGGCCAAGCCAGCCTTGCCGATGAATGAACACCAGGGGCCAGAAAAGCACTGCGAGCAGGAACCGTCACTGGAGGCAGGGACGGAGAATGACGTGGAACACACACAGACAGTTTACACTGCTCAAGGTGTAAGAGTCTGTTCATTCTACTAGGCTATACTGCAGAGCAATTTAAGCTATTATTTTAATTTTTCTACTCTTTACATCATTTTTAAACAATGAACTTCACTGTGAAAAAGAGAATAAAGAAACATGTTTTCTGTAAACAGTGCTGGGACTGGGTGCAAGTCCTCCGAGGAGTTCTACTCCAGGGGGAGAGGAGGCTGGTGTTGGTCCTGGGCTCTGGGGAGGACCGAGGGGCAGGAGGACAGGCTGCCAGAGCACCCACGATGTGCATGTCACCCACAGAACACGAGCACTCCAGCCAAAACCTTAAGCTACTACAAAAAGGAAACCAAGACTGAGCATGAAAGACAGACTCACAGATACTCCGCTTCCTCGGGGTGGAGGTGGTACCTGTGCCCGCCCTCGGCCGGCAGTGGGGTGGGAGGCAGATCAGCTGGGCTCAGTGCTGCGGGGCTGCCCAGGAAGCTGCGCTTGGTGGCGTTGGAGATAGGCACAGGAGGCCGGGTGCTCTTCTGCTGTAACACTGTTTTAGCTGCAGAAGTGGCGATTGTACAGAAATATTCAGACTAGTTACAATGCTGGCATGGAACACAAAATCTACTTTTTTCTTTTTGTGAGACAGGGTCGTGCTACGCAGTTCAGGCTGGCTTTGAACTCACAGCGACCCTCCTACATCCATCACCTGAGTGCTAAGATTACAGCTGTGCCTCACCACACCTGGCCAAACCTGCATCTTTTATAAGCACAAAAATAACTCAACTTTGACCTGAAACCAAACTTCTCCAGAAAATTGGTATCTATCGAATCTAACAAATGTACTGTGTAATGTCAGACAGGACCTTCTGAGACAGGGTCTTGCTGTGTAATTCAGGCTGACCCTGAACTCATGGCAGTCCTCCCAAGTGCTGGGATTTCAGGCACGCGCTGTGACGCCTGGCAAATGTTATAATTATACCAAAATCTAAACACACAACACGGACTAGAGAACAGTGAACAGAAAGGTCTGCTCCACCCACAGGGCCCCAGCACCACACAGCCCTGCCCTGGGCTTAGTGGCTGCTCCAAACCCTCGGGATACCCTCGGCGCGTCAGACACTCACCATCTTTCAATTCCTGAACATCCCGGGGCTGAACAAAATCGGGTTTGACATTCTCAAACCACCAGAAGAGCTCGGCAATGAAAACCATAACGTTCGGCTAAGAGAGAAAGAAAAGCAAGACAAGGACATAAGCACACACTCGAGTCGCATGTGACCCAAGCATCGTGGAGAAGGCCTCACCTTGAGCACCAAGGGCGCATACAGCATGTCCTCCAGCGTGAGGTAGAAGCACTTGTTCAGATGCTCATTGGCGAACTCTCTCAGGAGCCGGATGTTGTACAGGCTGTCGGCCATGGACGGCACCTCCTTCAGGCATATATCTGACAGACAGAGGACAGACTTAACACCCCAGATGCCGCTTCAGAAGCAAGCGCGTGGGCACACAGCCTCGTTTAGGGCCACGCTGTGCAGAGGATGTCAGTACACAAAGGACAGATGTCATTTAAAAATACGCAGTGTTTCACAAGTAGCATCAAATGCAGAAGGAATGTGCTCAAGAAGAAAGGAGTCACTTCCAGGATTCGAATTCTGTGATTCACAATGAAACACCCCAGTAAATCACTAATTTGAGACCACGCATCTGAAGTCCTTGGTTCACCCCAGATCCCTACTGCTTGTAGCTGCTAAGCAAGTTCCCTCAGCAGCCAGCCCCTGTACAAGGTCCTGTCTGTGTGTGCCAACGGTGCGCCTGGGAAACAAAGTGCCAAGGGGACCAGCGATCCCAAGTTGAGCGACTGCACAGCATGCGCCTCCTCGTGAGAGTGTGGGGACACCTGCCATCCCCTCCAGGGCAGGGCAATTTAGGACCAGGCTGCCATGGAGAAGAGCTGCACAGGCCCACTACAGGGGCCTTCCAAGGAGGCATGTTCATCGGCAGGGGTTCAGAAGTGCGCACAAGTTAGATCTTCTACTCAGTCCTGGTTACTGCTCCTTTTTAGTCCAAGGACAGGGTGCTTCCACCTCACTCACACCAGGTGTGACCAGCCAGACCTCCCTGTCTGTCCCTAGGGATTCCGTGACCCCCAACATGTCGGTCCCCTGCACAGCACCCCTTCTCTGGGCTCTGCATGCAGCCCACACTCCACATGACCCTGCTGGGCCACAGCCACACAGCCTCACCCAAGGCAGTCCACCAAGATTGGGCAACGGAGCAAGGACCCACATTCCTCCTCCTCACACTTTACCTGGCCACAGCCCAAGACACTTTAAGCAAAAACTAGTGGAAGAGCTGGATTATAACCCATGGAATAAACCAGGCTGCAGGGGCTACCCGGTCCACACCTCAGAGCAGAGAAGAGCACTTTCCTCACAGTACAGAGGAGCAGCTGAGGCCGACGCCAAAGAGAGGTGGATGACAAATCTGAGGACAGAGGGGCGTGTGGCCCAAAGCCTCTCCAGTGCACTGACACATGCTGAAGCCAATGTCCCCGTCCAGCAGGAGCCCAGCACAGGCCACCTGACTAATGACCAGGCACACCGCCACCACCGGTGTGAGCTCCACACGCCGAGGTCAAGACAGTAGTGGCGATTCCGCTGGAAGCTGATAGCACAAGGATGGGCAGCCGGAAAGGGTGGGGACTGTGCCGAGGCCGCCAGGGGCCCCTGATTTCCCCTCCAACCCAGAGCACGGGGCAGTGTGGCGGAGTCAATGTGGCCCTGGGGTTCTCACCCAGCTTTTGCACTTGTCCACTTCTGTGAAAACAATCCGGACTGACAACACATTTATGGAGTAGCCTGAAAATTACACTTTTTAGGATACAGACTCAGCATCTGAGAATGTTAAGCCTCGGCCCAAGCACAACAGAAACATTTGCCTTTACCTTCCAATTTTAAGCCTGTTTTTACATCTTGCCTCACTTCCCGACGTCTTTACAGTCATCCCGTGCTACACACAGGACATAGATAGTGTTCAGGGGAGCTGGCGGGGTCCGCAGCACCGCAGCCCCAGCACCCACCTCCCCTACTCCCTGGGGACAAGGTGTGGCGGGTGACACACGACGAGGCCAAGAACTGCACCTGCTGGGACGATGCGGAGAACGTGGTCCGCGTCTGCTCCCAGCCTGCAGTAGCAGAGCCCACCGCAGGACTCCCCTCAGGCCCATGTCAGGGAGTAGCCCTACAGGAGCGGGCCGCCCAGCTGCCGCTCCCTGGACAGCCTGAGTCCTGTGAGGGGCTCTTCTCACTCCCGAGCCCACCTATTCTGTGGTTACCGGGTCTCTGCGCTTCCTGTCTCGCCGGCCCTGTGGAAGCGGTCCCTGCCGGCCCATGTTCCAGTGTGGCTGGCACACAAATACTCTTGCTGGTCTTGTTACCCACTAGATCTGTAGTTTGTCTTCTTATCACTATTTTCTTTATTGCTGACTTTCTTTTGATTTTTCCAGAAAACCTTCTATTTTATTAATCCTTTAAGAGAAGCTTTTAGTTTCACATACTGTCTTTAAAACTTCTAATTTATTATTTTGCAATTGAATTTATCAAAAACTAAGATTTTCTTATTAACAAAAATATTAATGCCTTTAAAATGCCACCAGCATTTTTATTAAAGAGCTTAAAAAAAGGTCACTGTCTATCTGCGCCCTCCATTCCTCTGCCAAGGCCCACATCCCCTTGCTGAACACTGCCCTGTGCCCTCCTGCAGTGACCCGGCACTCGTGTGGCTGGGCCCAGAGGAGGCTCCTGGGACTATTTCCACACCCGAGCCACAGTCTCTGCCCACAGACCTCGGATGCCGGCAGCCATGCAGCCGCCTGCCTGCCCCTCCTGAGATCCGGGCCTCTGACCTCCCTGGATGGGAGTGCACTGCATCCTGCCGAAGTCTCCCCGGCTGTCCTAGCATCACCACTCCTGTCCTGGCTCCTGTCTTCCCATGCGGTCACCAAGGCCTCCTCTTCCCCCTTCAGCAGCCACACTGGCCACTGCTGGGTCCTTAAGAGGTGGCCACCTGCATCCCTGGGGCACCTTCTATTCTCCTTGGCCGACGCTTCAGAGAGCTTCATGCCTATTTTCTCTGTTCTTCCTTCCTACACTCCTCTCCGCTTTTCCTACCTCTCCTCCTTGTCCCGGGTCCTAGGAGGTTTCTTCAACGCTGCTTCATGCAGCTCTTCAGTGAATTCTGCCACTGTGGTCGCCGAGTAAGCCTCACCTGGAGCCCCTCAGAGTCTGACTCCGGATGTCCTGTGGTCCACTCCTGGGTGTCACTGCTCACTGATTCACTTCTCCTGCGCTGCCTGTGACCCAGTACTCATTCAGGTCAGGGTCTCAGCCATCCATGCTCAAGTAAGAGGAGGCCTTAGGAGCCCCAGAGGTTGCGGGCCTTCTGCCTGAGGCCAGTTGCTGCAGGGGAGCACACTGCCTCTCTGCACCAGGACGAACTGGCCTCCTGGAGCCAAGCGGGAGATGGAGGCTTCTCGGGGCAAGGAGCAGCTTATACAAAGCTCCTCTTCAGTGCGCCCTCATTCCTGCCCGTCCCTGTGCCTGGGGTCTGAGCCTGCAGCCTGCCAGGCTCACTTTCTCCCAAGAGGAGGCCCCCAGCTCCTCTCTCATGGTCCTCAGCCTGACTCAGGGCATCCCAGGCACCACCAGCCCCTCTGCCCTCCTCCTGTACCTACTGGTCAGCAGGCCTGCTGCTCCAAGGCTGGATACAGCCAAATTTCACCCAAGAAGGAATGTGCAACTCGGCTCCTCACTCCATCTTCTAGAGTAACTTTGGACCCTCGCACAGGTAGGCGACACTGTCACTGTCCTTTCCCATGGGGCTGGACTGCTTCACTGTTCCCTTGCTGGTGCACTGCAGCAAAACTGGTCTAGCACATGAACCCTGAGACACAGCTCCCCCACACCTCTCGGGCTGTGTCCTGCTCTACTGACAACCGTCTGTCGCTGTCAGTCTGTCCCAGACTGAGTCTAGATGATCGAGATTTGCAGGGGAGTGAGGACAGAAATGCCTGCCCCACAGAGTATGCAGCAGCAGTTCCACAGTGACCTCAGGGACTCAGGAAGCACTCAGTGGTCCCTCCGGTCCACAGCTTTAAGGGTTTCCAGGAGCGTGACAGAAACCATACAGGTTCCTCGCTCCTCACGCTCCGCACTGGGAGCTGTGCCCATGTTTCGGCATCTGGCAGTTTCTTCTGTGGCCATGACCATCCACACCTGTTGGTCCTGTCCATGTGAACTCTGAATCTTGAAACAAACATGTCCACAGTGGCAGGCACGCCAAACACAGCCTACTCCCCGTGCCCAAGTCTTCCACGGCCTTACTAAGTCTCAGCTGACCACCAGTTTCCCCTAAGACAGTCATGCAGCTCCAGCAGCCTCACTCTGAAGCCGTCATTTGCACACATCCACTTTGCCACCTCCCCTCCCCGGCTGCAGTGGGCTTCCACGTGGCTGTGCTACCCTGTGAGCTGCTGGTCTTGCTGTCCACGATGACTTGATCCCAGGCATGGAAGGCTCACAGGTGGATACGACGGGGAGGATGGGATCTGTGCACCAGGAGGCAGGCCTGAGGGAGCCCTGCCCGAGGCAGGGAGGCAAAAGGGTGCAGACAGGAGAGGCGCTGCTGCAGCCACAACCTGGGGATACTACCATCCGACGTCTTCCTGCTGGCCTCTGTCCCCCTTCCTGTCCTGCATCCCTTTAAGACTCCTCTTCTGCTGGGTCTGGGTGTGGCCTGCGGGCTCCATCAGAATGCCAGCAGGGCCATGAGCATCCCAATCCCAGAGCACTTTTTTGTGTGTGCGCAGTACCGGGCATCAAACTTAGAACCTTGGGCTTGCAAGGCAGGCATCACTGAGCCACATCCCCAGCCCACCCAGAGCACTTTTGACATGGACCTTTCCTCTAGGACCGCTCGGCCTCCCTCCACTTCACACTGATCCCAAAGAGGTGGGCATCTGAGGAGCACCCCCATGCATTCCCAGCTCTTTCTCCATAAAGCCCAGCCCCAGCCCGACACCCACAGCCTCACACAGCCCCCAGGCCCAATGGGCCCAGGGCACCCACAGCCTCTCCCACAGGCTCCCCTCTAAGGCCTCTCCTAGTAGCTGAGGCTCCCCCATCTTCCCAGTGCAGCTCTGTGGGTGCACGGGCATCCTGTGCAGAGCATCGCTTGTCGTCCAGGGGAGTGTGGCCAGCCGGGACAACACAGTGAGGCCGCCTCTCAAGACAGGAGTGCATCTGTGTCCGAGACTACCTTGTGTGCGAGAACATGAGCACCGTCCAGCACTCTCATCCCTGGGGACTGAGTCTGAGATGCAGGTCCACACCACATGCCCACTTGAGGGTAGGATGCTTGGCAAGACGCCGTCCTAGCTGCAGACCACACTGACTGACACCAAGGGCACAGGCGTGCAGAGCACTCCACGGCACCCGAAGCACCGCATCCTTCAAACCTAAGGAAGGGTGCACACGAGCCCACCCATGCCGAGGCCTGGGAGCCACGCCAGGCCATGTCTCCGCGAACAGGATCAGGGCCCAACGTGTGCATAACCCCACGGCGGCGCCTGTGCCCTGCCGGGCGGTGCAGGAGGCGTCTCCACTCACCGTCCAGTCTCATCTGCTCGGGGCAGTAATAGTGCACCACCGCCAGGAGGGCAGCACCATCGCTGCCGCCTCGCATCAAGTCCTCCAACAACGGGAAGCAGGGCGACTGCCTAGCGGAAAGGTGCTCTCGCCGATAGCGGACCTGCGGTTGATAAAAGGAAAATGGTCTCTGCATGTGCACCCCCGCAACGTGTGCTACAGCCACGCTGCAGTACACCGCGGGCACCGCCCAGGACCCGCAGAGGAAGCCTGCGACTGCCTGGCATGCTCACACTGCCTGGCTGGCACCAAGATCCGGAGGCCTGGGCCACATTGGGTGGCAGCTGTCCTCTGCGAGCGCCACCAGAGCCAGCTGGACACAGCTGACACGGGGGCAGGCGCCGGGAAGGAGGCGGGACACCTCTACGCTACTACCAGAGCCAACACTGAAGACAGGCGAGAAACAAGTCAAACGGTGAGCATCCTGACACGGCAGCTACTCTCCCCGCACCTCCAGGGCAGCCTCGGCCACCAAGGAGGACGCAACACAGCATGGTGCAGCCTGAGAAATCTCAGAGTAAGGTGAGGCCCATTCCTCACAACACAGACAGCCATCCAGGAGCTTGCGATGCGCCTGGATGCCGCCTCCCGAGAGGTGCTCAGGACCCCCGGACGCACTGGCCTGGCTGAGGCTTTTTAGTGTCTCCACCCAGAGAGGACACTTCGGACCCTTGGCTCTGTTCCCATGGCTGATGAGCGGGTACAGGAGTTTCGCTGCCAGGACGACTCAGGGCAGTTCCGGGCCTCAGCCGTTAACACATGGCTCTCCTGCCAGCCACAGTCCCGCACAGGGAGATGTGCCACACAGGCCGCCCTGTGGTGTAAGAACGCTGGGTTTCTGGTTCCGCAGCACTGATTCCAAGGACTGTCTCTCCACAGCCCAGAATCTCCAGCTGACGTCCAGAGGCAACAATGTGTAAAATAATCACATTTAGCATAAGACATGTCTTTATAAATTAAGCAGCAAGGCTTGTTTTGTGTGTGCTGTTCCAAAACTCTCTTTAACTTGTTTCTCGGAGCCCAGGGCACATGCTACCACAGGTCACCCGCCTCGTACTGGACCACACGTGCAAGGTCCACGGGTTCCAGCATGCAGTGCACTGCGGCATGCGCCAGGCCAGGCTTCCACAGACAGCAGACACGCGGTGAGCAGAGTCATGCATGAAGCAGATGGATGGTGAGGGTCGATCAGGCAGGACACCGAGCTGCAGCTCAGGACAGCACACTGTCATTCTGACCCTCGGCTGTGGGGTGTCAGGGTAAGACCTCCAACCTGTCAACCTTTATCAGATTCATCCTCACTGGCTATTTCCTGAACATTATGGCAGGACAGTCACACGTCCTCTGACAAAGGGACACTGATCTTGGTCACATTTCTGGTGTCATTAAATCACACTCCCTACAGGACAGCTGCAACTGTGAGCCCTGCCTCAATCATGTCTGGACTCAAGAGGCCAGAGAGCCGGGGGTCCCCACGAGACAGCTCTCCTGCTAATGCATGCGGAGAAGCAACGGGGCAGAAAGGCAAGTCTGGAGCAGAGGGGCCCTGTGTGTCCACGGCTATCCCCAAGAAGGGGTCCAGGGGGTGATGGAGGCCAAGTCATGAGCCACCAAACAGGCATCAGAGGGACACATACAAGGCCATCTGCATAAGGACTCATGTCCACAAGTTCACGCGGAAAGGCACCAGTCGGCACCAAGCATTTGCTGTGGGCTCCGTCCAGAATGGGCCACCAGGTGGTGCAAAGCTAGAACCGCATGACCAGATCACTGTCTTCAGGCTAAGTCCAGAATCCCTGTGCCTGTGCTGGCCTGCTGACCACACTGAGCCCTTGCCTGGGAGCCAGCACATGCTAGGGAGAAGGCACAGGAGGGGGGCATGAGGCCTGGGACACGAGGGAGAGCCCTCTCCGAAGTCCACCCGCATCCTCCCTAGGGAACCACCTTCCCGACTGGACGCCGGGGGATGGACAGCATGGTAAACACCCCCAGTGGGCAGGTGACATCAGAAAGGACCAAGCGCCAGGAGTGGCTCGGGCTACTACGTCATCGTCAGTCTTTCCAGGACCTCGTCCCATCCCTATGCTGTGCTGGTCACATAAAGGAGTCACTAGGAACAAACAAATGCACAGGTCTAGGGGAACTGAAAGCCCCCAGGGCCACATCACAACCCTGCCCAGCCCGGCCAGTCCACTGATACTGTCCTAGGGAAGGTGTAGCGCCAGTCCCAGGTGGACACTTGAACAACAACAACAACAAAACAGTCCTAGATGCGAGCAGTTTCAATGGCAGCGCATGACGGCGACAGGATGGCTCTGCAGACGGCAGCTGGTGGCAGGTCACTTACGGGCACTAACTTCCAATACCACTTGGAGGGAGACTGCTCGGGAAGCAGGGAGGAAGGTGGAGAGGAGCGTCAGCCGCAGGTCCACGGGGACGTCGTGAGACACTCTTGCAGCCGAGGTGGGGATAACCTCGCGCGAGCAAAGGCTTCTGGGTGCCCGTGACCTCCCCACGCCACGGCACCAGGAGTCCCTCCTCAGCTCTGTCCTTTGCTACTGCAAAGGACCTGGCTAGGGCAGGCCAGGTGAGCACTTCCCACCCACGCGCGCATCGCCTAGGGTTAGGGCAAGGCCTACGATGCACACAAGGGAGGCCCTGGGCTGCGGTCTGACTTGGGCCCACTGGCTGCCAGAAGCTGTCCAGGGCAGCACGGAGGGAGAGGAACTACAGGGCTGGGCGAGGCAGGGGCTACGGGCGTGTCCTGCACACATGTGCTTGGCCAAAGAGAAAACAACAAGAGAGACAGACCGATGTCCAGAACGTGCTGTACACCCACGACACACACACTTCCCGCCAGTCCCCATGGGGGGGCTTCTCAGACGCCCACCGGCCACACTGCACGCCAGGGCATCAGAGGCACCAGACAGACCCCACACACTCACTGCGGGAAGCCTGCTTCCAGGGACCCGGGCTCCCCCGCGCTAGAGCGGCCGAGCCCTCCCAGCACACCCTTCCCCTCCCACAGTTCAACACCCAGACACCTCTTCCAGGGAGGGGGTGGTAGGCTACGGCCCCAGAGCCCTGGGGCTGGCTTTGAGAACCAGCACCAGTAACCGCTGAGGACCTTCCAGAAAAATGAAATCAGCCCTTTACCTTTTGATGAGCCGGGCTTTCCAGCAGCTGCTGCTTTAACTTCACTTCCCTTTCTGTGATCTCTCTCATTTTAAGATTCACCTAAGGGAGAAGACAAACACATTAAGAAAGCAGTCACTCTCCCACACTAGTCCCTCCCGGCTGGAGACAGAGGGCTGGGGTCTGCCTGCCTGGAGCCCAGCACTGAGAGAGCACACAGCCCGCCGCCAGGCACCAGCCAAGGCTCCTCCCTCAGCATAGCAGCCACCAAGGCGTGGCAGTGGCACTCGCCAGCGGCCTGTGTGTGCATGTGACACACGCTCACCAACACCACCAGCAAATGTAAGGAGCCCAGTGGGCACAGGGAACAACTCCCCGACACATCAGACAGCACCAACTGGAATCCCACACACATGGAGGCCCCTGAAGAGCTAGAACCCTAAACAATGCCTCCCACAATCGCTAATGCACCATGGTAAAGCCACATGGGAAGACACGGGCGGGCCATGGTCAGAGCCACGATGGGAGGAAGAGGTGAAGTCCCGAATGCCTGTCATTATAGAACAGGCCAGAGTCACTCATGCAAACTGTACCACGAGAGCAAGCACATGCCTGTGACCTAGCACTCAGAGGCTGAGACAGGAGGACCGCAAGCCCTTCCCACCTGGGCAACTTACAAGATCCCTGTCTCAAAATAATACAGGCAAAGAGGGCTGGGAAGGCCCTCAATGTGAAGAGGCCCTGTGTTCAACCCCAAATACTAAAAAAAGAAAAACACTTGAACTTAGTTCTTTTCTTTTTACAGTACTGGGGATTGAACTCAGAACTTTGCACTTTAGAGGCAGGCGGGAGCATCACTAAGCTAAATCCCCAGCCCCTGTACTTTGTTTTTAAAACTAAAAAACAGATAAAGGAAAAGTCAATACAGATAAATTTAAAAATCAATGAATTAAGGTCCAGGTGTTTATCTTAGTGGTTTCGGCTCTTGCCTCCCAAGTACAAAGACCTGAATTCCGTCCCCCTCACCCGGTACAAAAAAGAAAAAAATCAATGAATTAGAAAACATGAAAAAGACAAATCCACAACCAAGTTTTTTAAGTATGATTAAAATCAAACCTAGAAGCTGGGCTGGGTGCACACGCCTATAATCTCAGCCCTCAGGAGGCTAAGGCAGGAGGACTGTGTATCTAAGGCCAGCCTGGACTACACAGTGAGACTCTGTCTAAAACACAAAAACAAAGCCAAAAAGTAAAAAAACAAAACAAAACAAAACTACAACATTATGCAGTCCAATTTTTTTGAAGGAAAGTAAAACCACTAAAAGGGCTGGGGATTTAGCTCAGTGTTGCTGCCACCTGCTTTCCAAGTGCAAGGTCCCGAGTTTGATCCCGGTACCAAAAAAAACCCACAGGGGAAAAAAAAAGTACCACAGAAAAGTATATCCTATTTAAAATAGAAATTCATTTCAGTTTTTTGATGGACAAACCATTTTAAAAGCCAATGTAACTGTATATTACTGAAATAATTGAAAAGGAGACTAAACATGGCAAATTAAACATTTGCTACTATCTCTGACCTCTGTCAAACCACTTCAACAAAAAAAAAAACATAACAGCTGGAAATCCACAGGAAAAAAGAGCAACAATGGCAAGATGGAAAAGCTGGCTGCTGAGGCGCAGAAGACGGGCCCACCTCCCACAGCCGAGCAGGGGGAGTGGGGCTGGAGCCAGGAGCCAGAGCCGACCCTGGAACCAAGTGCAGAACAGTGGGCAGAACTGTCAGCCCGCCCCTGCCCTGCCCTGCCCTGCCCTGCCCGGGAATGGCCGGCAGTGGTCAGCAGACCGAGGGTCCCCCTTGGACAGATGATGCCGGCCAGGGCCCCAGAGCCAGTAGAGAACCCTCACGCATGCGGGCAGAGCCAGAAGAGCCAAAGCTCACAAGTTCATGATGGCAGGAAGAACCATAAGAGGGGTTCAGGGAGCAGCAGGCAGATGAAGGTGACACAGACAGAACCACGGGGGCCCCAGCCAGCCTGCCAAGTGGGGCCTGGGGACCCTGGGGACCTGAGACACTGCCCAGAATGACGAGGGCTCAGTTCTGATCTCTCCCTGGCCGCAGCTGCACAGACTGCCTGTCAGAGCCAAGGTGGTGCAGCTGCCCCTGGACCCAGTGCACCACAGAGGCCCTCAGCAATGACACACAGGCCACCAAGGTCCTCTGGGAGGCAGGAAGAGCACAGCCCTTCAGCACAGTCTCACACCCTGCAGAGCCACAGGAGCACAGCACCAGGCCGGCTCCTGCGCGGAGCGTGGAAAGGTGACCACAGGGGTGCCCACAGGGCCTCTGAGCTCAAACCGAGTGAGTGTAGCGCTGGATGGAATGGAGTGCGGGGCACTAACAGCTTGTTGTATTTTTTTCTGGTGACCAAATATGAATCTCAGACAAAAATTAAAATTTTGGAAAATCTTCCACCAAAAGCTAGCTCTCTCTCCAGCACAGAAAGACTCCTCTGATAGGATCAGTGGAAACAGCAGCCACCTGACATTTCGTGCTGTACCACAAAGGTCTGCGCGATCTGGACGGCTGTACCCCTGGAGAAGCCATTCTCTAAACAACCAATGCACGACACTAGGAAACCATGGGCGCTGAAGCCACAGGGAAAAAGCAAGGCAGAGAGAGGTTTTAATAAGGCAGAGCATCAGAAAGTTCACTGATCTAATGTTTAGGATGCGAGAAGGACTCAACAACAAAGCAAAATCTCGTTTGAAAATGGGCAGGGAACTGAACATTTCTCCTAAGTAGATCTATGAACGGTCACGAGCGCAGAAGGAGGCCCACCGTGAGGCGGGAGGGAAACGCAAACCGAAGCTCAGTGAGATACCACCTCTTCGCTGTACCCAGGAAGGCCACTCAAAAGCTAACCGAAATGACAAGTGCTAACAAGAATGGGGGAAACTGGAGGCCTCAGATGTGGCTGTTAGGAAAATCAAAGCGTACAGCTCCTGTGACAAGTCTGGACGTCCCTGAAAAAGTTACACACAGAGCGACCATGTGATCCAGTGGTTTCCCCCCTCAGTACACACCCACAAAGGATGAAAGCAAGTCCACTGGAAAGCTCACACACACACAGCAGCATTATTCACAAGCGTCACAAGGAGCAACACTGCGAACGTCTAATAGCAAATGGTCACACACAGCACGGCAATCGTGCGTGGGACATCACTCAGCATGCAGGAGCGAAGCGCCAGCCCCGCACCTGCTACAACAGATGAAGCTGGAGAACTACGCTCCTGAAAGAAGCCAGACACAAACCCATTTATGACAGGATTCCACGCACAGGTGACCTCAGCCCTGCTGTGCCAACCTGTGCAGATTAGTGAAGCACCCCAGGTGTCGGGTGGGGACTTCACGTGGTCTCACCAACCCCTCTCCAGCGCTGGTCTCCTGCTCTGCCCATCGCCCCACCGCAGCGATATTCCTGTTAGCGCCAGGGAAACCTTCCTGAGGTTAGGTCGTGGGTCAGGTATTGCCCCACGATGGTAACGCTGGGGACGGACCTGAAATGTCCAGAACAGGCACACCAACAGGGACAGGGACAGGAAGCAATGGGTGGCTGGGGGTTGGGGAGAGGAGGGAAAGGCACAGCTGCCAGGGTCCTCGTGGCTTAGAAAGACCCTGTGGAGCCACACAGGATGTCAGCTCGACAACCTTTGCATAAAAACGGTGATTTTAATGTTAAGAGAATTGTATCTCAATTTAAAATAAAAAAGCTTCAAATTCCAATTAATCTTTGAGAGGGTCCAGGGATTTAGGTCAGCGGTTCTGCAGCCTGCCTCAAAAGCACAAGGGCCCGACTTCGATCCCTGGTACCAAAACAAAAACAAATACAGCCTACCAATTAATCTTTGAGAAACTACTGCTATCAAGTTTGGGTGCAGAATCAACAAGAGATGCACATGCGCTCTCCCCTCTTCCCCTGCACTGTCCGCGTGCAGCGGCTGCTCAGAAACCTCTCCAGCAGCCGAGGAAGTGGGCGGTCCAGGAGCCTCCAGCCTATCACTACCTTCAATGCTGTTTTGGGAAACACGGTTATTTTCATTTTTAAAAAATTATTTATATGAAAAGAAGAGAATTAACTGCTCTCTTTAATTGTTCTTATTTTTAGTTTCTAACATGGTAAATACTGATAAGTTACAATTTTCTTAAAAAGTTCTTTGATGTTACAGTAACTCTTAAAAGTGTAAATGGATTCTGAAACGAAAACGTTTGAGTATTTTGATCTATAAAAAACATGGACAATATGCAGGTATACCATAAAGACTTCTATTCTGGATTTTTAACTACCTTAAAAGATAACTGTTAAAAGCAAAAATAATGAAACCAAACTAAGGGTGACAGGGCTACCAAGGACCAGGGGAAGCACATAGGAGCCCAGGACAGCCTGAGTCACAGCCCTGCAAAGGACGGGGATGAAATGGGGCTCTAAGGATGTTCAGGCCCACACGCGAGCAGGGGAAAAGAGGAGGTGAGTACAGCAGAAACCCAGCACAGCGGCAGCCCAGCCACGGACAACTGCGTTAAATACAAGCTGTCTCCACACACCAACCATGACACTGGCACAAGTAACTCACTTTAAAGGGAAAGACAAGAAGTTAAAAGCAAAAGGAAAAGGAAGGGACAGTGTTTCATTAGGCAACTGGGGAAACCACATCACTGCTAAAGGAAGAAGAGTTCTGGGACAGGGTCGTCTCTGGACCCAGGGAATCTCTTTAATTGTTCTTATTTTTAGTTTCTAACATGGTAAATACTGATAAGTTACAATTTTCTTAAAAAGTTCTTTGATGTTACAGTAACTCTTAAAAGTGTAAATGGATTCTGAAACGAAAACGTTTGAGTATTTTGATCTATAAAAAACATGGACAATATGCAGGTATACCATAAAGACTTCTATTCTGGATTTTTAACTACCTTAAAAGATAACTGTTAAAAGCAAAAATAATGAAACCAAACTAAGGGTGACAGGGCTACCAAGGACCAGGGGAAGCACATAGGAGCCCAGGACAGCCTGAGTCACAGCCCTGCAAAGGACGGGGATGAAATGG